TGAATTTTTATTTTATTTTTTTTTATTAATTTTAGTAAAAAGTAGACTCTAAATTTCAATCTATTTTTCTAATTTTAGTTCTGCTGGGTACCTGCCAGTGTTCGGCTGTAAAGCAAACATTATTAGAGCAAATGAAATAAAACAACTCTCAGAGTCCATCACTGTAAGCCAATACTCCAGGAAGCCCCGCCCAGGATGCTGCATCGTCATCATCATCATCATCGGTCCAGTAAGCCTCTCCCCTGCTGAGGTCACATCATCCCTCCTCTCAGGTCCGGGCTCTGGTGGGGTGGGTGGCCCGAGGAGATGTGATAAAAACTGGGGCAAATCCAGAGTGAGCTGCACAGCTGACACAAGCTCTGCTCCTGCAGAGACACCGAGAGCTTTCAGAAGAGTCAACATCTGGTGGTAAGAGCTGCTGCTTTCTTCATTATACTCAGTCTGTTCTCTGCTGTCTTCTTTGAAAAAGATTATTATCATAAAAAAGTCAATTTGAGCTGTTAGATGGTGGAAGAGGGGTGTTATGGCATTTAAAGAMGGGGTGTAAAATAAGATGTCAGTGTTAAAATCAGCTGTAAATAATAAGTAATTYTCATTATAATTATACGTATAGACAAAAAATAAGCGAGAAAGAGGTACTTCAGCATACTTGTGTCTATTGATTCATTGTAACACAATTATATGAAAACATAACTAGATTTCTGCTTTAATAGCCTTAATAAATCAGTTTTAAAGCCAGAGAATAATAAGAGGTAGATCTGACAATTAACGAGGCAGCTATGCTTTAAAATAAACTAATAACCAAACAAAAGCTAACATTTGTTTTTATATTGTCACACGCCAGCATCCTAAAGAGATTTTTAACCTCCTCCTGACTCAACCTGCTAAACCTGGGAGGGTTAATTCCTGCCCAGCTGCTGACGTTACAGTCCTGTGCACTTTTAATTAGCCCTTAGTGAGAATGAAGCTGTTTAGCATCTTGTGGCTCCATCATTAGAGGTGAGTGTGTCTGTGTGTCACTTTGTGCACAGGATTCCTCACGTTTGGAGCTTAAAGAGCTGATCAGCCTGCGTGTTGAGAGAAAGTACGAAACATTCAGATCTCAGCAGCTGATTTTAAACAGCATCTTCATCTATGAGCTGAACACTGGCTCTAAATCACATAARTGCCTCCATCTGTCTCACGCCTGGGAGATGGGATGACTCACAACGACTCATTCTCTTTCTGCTGACYGCTGGGATTTGATTTGTTCCTCTTCCTTTTCATCCCTCTGTTCGTTCCATCTTTTCATCCCTTTTTCCCAGTAWCGTTCTCCCCTCTCACGGTTTACACCCGTGTCTGCTCCTCCGTGTCCGTTTCTCTCGTGAGTTTGTGTTTCTGTCTGATAAGSAGCTCACAGAAGGCAGCCTGAGAGGCAACAAAGCAGCTCTCTGTTCTCTGCGGGACTTTGCAGAAACCGGATCCCAGCCGGGTTGTTGAAGCCTGACTGAAACCCCCCCAAGCAAAGCATGTATAAAAGCCTAATAGCTTAGTTATTAACATGATATTAAATGTTGCAACATGAACAACTTAAATTRCAGCTGAAAGTGTTGAACGAAAGCTGCACAAAAAATGTTTGTAAAGATTTTGTTTWCATGGAAACCAGCAATTAGAGATAAAAATCTGAACTGAGTCCAAAGAAAATKAAAATGTAAATACAGTTTTTGCAGCGAGGACAAACAAACCACCCCCTTTATTTCCTTCCTTTCCTTTAGTAAACATTATTGTTTAGATTATTTTTATGGTTTAAATTCTGCACAAAGTTACAAAGAATAAGTTACTTTTACAGAAAACTCTAACTTTCTGAAACRTTTTGCAGTTTAGACACTTTTTCCTTCCATTTCTTTTTGACATCTTACTGCTGGTTTAACATATTCTGTATTACAGATTAGGCAGCTGACTCACCGTTTGTACTCGCTTGAGCTCTGAATAACTAAAATTCTTGGAAAATGTCTGCATCTTGTAGAAATGTGCAGTCTTTTGTCGACTGTCTTCAAAAGTTTGGATCTTTACAAGATTTTCTTTACAGTGGCATGATCTGTTGTTGCCACAAAGTCAGCAGCGTTCTACTAAATATGATGCTTAAATGACAGGAAAAAGGATCAAACTGTGCCTTAAAGGGGTCCCAGATTAGTTGTAACATTAGACTTTATATGATACACATATACTTTAGCTGTAAAATAAAGACTGTCAAAATACTGTAAGCTGTTCAGTTTTATAATTTTTAAACTAGAAGTTTAAAAATATAYTACACGGATGGGGCCATTTTATTTACATGCAAAGCATTCTGGGTAAATGATGACATCAACTAGGTCATCGGTGTGAGGCTGCTAGCGAGCTATATCCACCCTGAAGGTTAATCTTGGACAATATCTGATGATCGACTCTTTKAAATGAAACCAGAGAGCGTTGACAGAGAGGAGAAGGTAGAAATGACTCAGCCTGTAACTGAAAATATGGATGGAGGACCTCAGTTTAGCTTAATTGTCACGCTAGCGCCGAGCTAATACATATAAGGCAGTATAGCATGGGCGCTAGCGCGAAGGCTAACAGGCTAATCTGAGGTTCTTCTTCCATGAAGCAGCTCTGTTGTCCTCCATCTATATTTTCAGTTACAGGCTGAGTCATTTCTACCTTCTCCTCTCTGTCAACGCTCTCTGGTTTCATTTAAGAGTCGATCGTCAGATATTGTCCAAGATTAACCTTCAGGGTGGATATAGCTCGCTAGCAGCCTCGCACCGATGACCTAGTTGATGTCATCASTTACCCAGAATGCTTTGCGTGTAAATAAAATGGCTCTGTCCGTGTTAAAATATATTTAAAAAATTTACAAAACTAAACAGCCTACAGTACTTTTAGTCTTTATTTTACAGTTAAAATAAATGTTTATCAAATAAAGTTTAATGTTACAACTAATCGTGGATCCMTTTAAAACTGATTTGTGCAAGAGTGCATGTGAATTAAGAAAAGTGGTAACAGAGAAATGACAGTTCGAGTCAGGGAATCAGAGCAGACTTGACTTTTATTATAAGGGATTGTTAAAGAGAACCAGAGTGGAAAAAATTATTTTAGCAGATTTATTCAAAAATAAAATTACAAGCACAATATGGCTCATTTCAACAGGAAAACACATAAAAAATGCTTCAAAGAGAATTTCAAGCTTTCAGCTTTGCAGCCAAAAACAACTGCATTCCTGCTCCAATAAACCATTCACACTTTGGTGTTTTGGTCTCATCACAGAAACAAAAACCAATGTCTCACGTCCAACAATTAGCCCAACGTCACATGTGAACAGTTTGATAAAATAAGATGTCAAAAACTGAAGAGCGCTGAGAAAATGTTGCGTGTCCTGTTTTAGACGTGTGTATTTGTCTTATACGCTCTGTTGTGTTTGTTTGTCCAGCGTAAGTGCTCCATCTTCAAACCCTGCTATTATGACTCACAGTCTGCTTCTCCTGAGATGTTTTCAGATCTGACCCACTAACGAGACGAGCCACGCCGCCTTTAAGCTCGTGGACGTTTCAGCTGCTAACCTACCAGTTTCACGTGTTTCTCTTGGATCAGCTTTTGTGCATCTTGTGACAATTCTAGCTTTTTTTTCCCTTTGGCTTCGTCCTTGATGTCACTGAAGCTCAAATGCTGAATTTTGCTACTGTTGCACAAAACCAAAGATTCTGAGTTGATCCCTTTTAGGAGTTTAGACTTTGTATCCTTTAAACGTACCTGGATGTACTTTTCTGTCCTTTTTTTATCTGCACACATGCAGTGAATGTTGTGAAACAGAGCCGTGTTCACGACACCCTAAAGTGGCCCCTCTTCAACAGGGTGGGAAACACATATGTTCTTCTCTGATGTTTTTCGTTTCGCATGCATGCCTCGATATGAACGCATGCTTCCTACAACGAGCCGGCAGTATTTTAGCAGGAAACATATGTTTTTAGCTGACAGGGCTGCAGAGAAAGGGTGACTGAATGGAGCAGGGCAGCTGCACAAAGGAAACAAAGGAGGAAACTGGTGTGTTTTTTTTGTCTATTGGCCAGTGAGGCTCAGTTGTTGCATGTGTGTGTGTGTGTTTGTGTGAGACAGCAGGAGTGCCAGGCCTCTAATGAACCTGTATTTTTATGGTGAGTTTGTGTTTTATACATCAAACTCAGAGCAAAGTTGTTATCTTAAAAAATGATCTGTAAATTTTTGTGTAGGAGTGTTGATTAGTTCCACGTTCCTGAGTGTGTGACTTCCACTGTGGGTTTTTTTTAAACCACACATATATATTAAAACACGATTTAATGAGCTCAGTCAGCCGCAGGAGGTGAGTCACCAGAGAACCAGACAACACGAGCAAAAAGTGGCTTTCAGACGGTTTGAATGTCAGTCAGTGGAAGAAGTTCCCTTTGAAACAACTCAGACATTTTTCACATAAACAGAAGTTTTACTTCCAGTTTTAAAATTGTCTGCAGCTTTCTCATTTTCACTTCCCCGCCGCCGCCGCCTTCCCCTTCTCATCTCCTCTCGTGAGTCATGTTTGCTCACACTTTATTGAGCAGATTTGTAAAGTAACTACGTACAAATACTTCTTTACTGTACTTAAGTAGAATTTTTGGGTATCTGTACTTTACTTGAGTAATTATTTTTCAGCCTACTTTTTACTTCTACTTCTTACATTTTCACACAATTATCTGTACTTTATACTCCTTACATTTTTAAAAAGGTAAGAAGTAGAAAGTTGTTTTGCTTGTTTTCATTCCAGCTTGTTATTGTGAAAAATAATTACTATCCATATAAACTGTGCCTCCTAGACAGGGAATTTAACAATTTAATTCATATTCAATTCAATTGAAATTCAAAAATACTTTATTGATCCCAGAGGGAAATTAGGTGTTGTTGTAACTCATTTAACTAAAAACTTATTGTAAATGCTGATGGCTGTGGGCAGGAGAGATCTTCTGTAGCRGTCTGTATTACAGCGAAGTTGAAGAAGCYTCCGACTGAAGACACTTTGACTTTCTATGACAGTCTGATGAAGAGGATGGTCAGGGTTGTCCACAATGTTCTTGATTTCATGTAAAATCCTTCTTTGCACCATCATCTCCAGAGGTTCCACAGTCGTCCCCAGAACAGAACCAGCCTTCTTTATCAGGTTGTTTAGCCTTTTTAGGTCCTTTTTAGGTAATTGTGGTTGAATKARAAGTATAAATATATAAAACTCTGATACCGTAGTAGTTTGTACACAAACAAATCATGTCACACTCCAGCAGGACATAATCATTAAAATAAAAGGACTGTACTTAAGAAGTATTTGTATTTCATGAATTATATTATTGTATTTGTCCCGCAGCCCTGGGATAGATTTTCATTTAGGGGAAAAGGTTTGTGCAGCCTTAATATATGTATATAAACTGAAAC